TCAATTCACCACTAAAAATTCTCCAACTGTTTACAAGGTCAGCTTTCTGTTTCCTACTTTCCCTCAGTTAACCAAACAGCAATTAAGTCCCACAAATGTAGGTTGGTTGATTCTCCTAGCACCTATCTACACGTTTTTAAACAATACGGTCACCTTAAAAAATATATTTAAAAGGAACCAGTTTTTTTGTATTAATTCTTGCTATAAAATATAGAAGTAGATATGGGTGGGATAAAACATCAAACAGGTTGAGAAATTATTAATATACATGAATGTTTTAGTCTTAAAATAGAATCAGCATTTGATAGCATTTAATGTACTGAACTCAGTGCATTTGAAGGGTTTCAGAACCCTGCGTAGACACACGTATGCTTTGATTATTTTGAGCATTTTTCTAGGACTTTTTAGCCAAATGCCTTTAGGAAGATGTATCTATATACATTGAAAACAAACAACACTCACTTTATAGATGCACAAAACAAATACAAAAAAGCCTTAGCTGCACAAGTGTATGTACACACTCAAAACATTTTCTGCTCTTTCAAAACACAACTGAAAGCAAATTAAATGGGCAAACAACTCACAAGAAATTGCTGCCTGAAATACATGGACCTTCCTGTCACGGCCTTATGAAGCTGAAATTATTCAACATGCAAAAAGCACTGTTAATTTTCATCATAAAGAAATTAAAAGCATCATAACCATGCTAGGAACTGTGATTATTTTAAAATGGATGCAGGAAGAACTAGATCTGTATTCTGAAAATTGAGCATCATGCTAGGGATGTTTTTTCCTAAAAAAAGCACGTCCAACACATGCTACTTAGGAGAAGCATTTGGCTCAAAAACACAGAGCAAAGCCAAGAAATAACCAAACTGAATTTATCTGCACTACAGATAGATATCGCCCTCTCGACCCACTAATATTCATGCCTTTGCCCATCTCTCTCAGCACTGGTTAGTTCACCTTCAGCATGCATAAGAGTTGATGAGGAACTGTCCCTCCTACTCTACCTAATTTTGCTCAGCTGATTCCTTGCCCTGGACAATGGCTGCAGTGCGATGAACTCGTCACTTAAAGCAACTCTGTTGGAGTACATCTACAATTGGACAGAGAAGGGATGGAACATACATGTCAGTAAGTAGCAGCAGTAATTTTCTAAGAGAAAGACACAGGACAAGACATTGTTATTTAAGTGGAATACACATCATATACAGAACACAAGCCTAGTACCTTGAGGACAGCTCCTGGGATCATCACAGCCAGTTACTGTTTGGTAGCACCATTCGTAAGTATACCTTAGCTTTCATACTCAGAAAAAAGGCCTATACACTTTTACATCTATACTTTACCAGGCATCTTCATACAGTATTACTTTCTCCATTCAATAGAGCTGTGATTTATATTTACCCGAAGATTTATATTTTCATTCGGATTTACCTTGCTGTCCACTTCCTCCTATAAGAGTCTGTAACAGACCTATAGTCAGATATTACCCAGAAGCTACTTCAGGGCAACAGACCTATAGTAAGACGGATGTAAGGCCAGCAAGAAAACTTGGAACACAGGGAAAAAAAAAAAATTACACAGGTGCACCTTAAGTACATTAAGGAAGGTAAAGTTAACCAAATTCATCCCTCTATACAAGTCAACTCATGCTTACCTGCCAAATTTTTAAAATACTGGCTTCCCAAAATGGCACAGATTTTTTTAAGTTGTTGTGACAGAACAGTATTTACATTTAAAAGTTTGTCTTTACCAGAATTTCTGAAGTGTTTCTCTCTCATACCAGTTAAATTTCTTTGTACTCTCATGAATAACTTAGCTACATGTAACATCTAACTGAGAGAAAGACTGACTATTGATGCTACGACCTTATACTAAATAGAAGATATGAAATCAAGTTCCTTATATACTAAGTAGAGTAAGAGAGATGCCTGCAGATACAGTGAATTCTAGAGCACTAAGTTGGGTAACTTGCACAACTATTGTTCTCTTAGTTTCTGAAAAATTAAAACAATAGGGGCAAGCATTTTCTGTTAAGAAACCTGTGTTTTGCTCACTGTTCCTGGGAATATTTTAGAATTTAAATGATAGCAGACAGAAACAAATATATTTAAACATCTGTGATTTAGAAATCAGTGACTAGTTCATGTAATAATTTATCTTGTCCAGGTAAGAATGTAAAATTTTAGTTTACAGTTATTATTTCCCCCAATATGCAAATATACTAATTCAGTCCTACAATTAAAAATTAATAATTAAAAATATTCAGTTATGGAGAGGGTGCACCTACACTATGAAGAATGCATTTGGGAGGGCAATATACAAAGTTCCGTATTCATTCGTTCGATGACTTCTACAGAAAATTCCTTAGCGTTTAGGATAAAGACATTCTCCAAATTCATTCTGTCTGAAAGTCAAGAGTCCTTTCCTCTGCTTTGAAACAGAAAGAAAAAGATTTACTAGAAATTTTAAACAAATCTAATGAGGTGTAATAACGAAAGAAGCATTCTGTCACTTCTTGACAATAAATGTGCTAAGGTGGTCATCTGTTCATCCGCACTTACATCTCCTTCTTCACAAGGACAGCTGATGAAATTCAGTGGGGCTGATTGTCCCATTAAAAGTAAGAGTGGGAAAATCTCAAGAGATTACACCTCCAGAAAGGAACAAACAGGTGCCTTTTCAAAAATACGTTTTTAACTATGATTTCACTATCAGACACACAAAGAGAAATCACTGAATGATGGCTGAAGCATTCCTGGTCAAATCAGATTTTACATACCTTGGCTTTGCAATATCAAGAATTAAGTGTTTTCCAAAAAAAAGACAGTATTCTGGTAAACATAGACTCTAATGCTGATGCTGTCAAATGGCAAAGCAGAATGGGAATAAGGAGAAAGAAGGAAAAAAAAAAAACGACTAATAGAGATACACAAAGCAAAATTCCCATGGCTATGAATCAAGTTATAGCCACAGGAAAGGTGTTAAGACATTCATCAAGATACCTTCTTCAAAATAAGAAGTCCTACTGTGACCTTGATGACACAACTGTAATGGAAGCAAACTGAGCCCAGAAATTCTTGAGAAGTGATCCAGAAAGCTGAAGCACGCAACAAGAAGTATATGGATAAAGCTAGGGACTTTTTGTTTTTTAATAAAAGCACCTCAGGAACATGAGAAACCTCAACAACCATACTAATACACTGCCAGACAAAACCAGCTGATGTGAAGGAAGGAAAGGGAAGCGTTCAATAAATATTGCCACTAGTTTTTGAAGGAAAAAAGAACAGTAAGTATCATTACCTCTAGAATTTTTCCTAAATCAACTCCTTAATCCAAAAAGTCCATTAACATGCAATCAAGAGTCTTATCAGGTCTAGCTGAAGAGTTTTTGAAAGCTAGCGGTTATTTACCTTGGCTTTTAGCTACTAAATTCCAAGACTGGAAAAAGCAGCTGATATTCCAGTTTTGAAAGGGGACTAATGGGATATTTGGGCTAGGAATAGGTTTGTCAGCATGATATTGATCCCAGGGAAATTAAGAGAATGTCTCACATGGACTTTTTTTAACGCACAAATTAGAATATAAGTCAGTCAGCTTGCACTTACATCAAAATAATTACAAGGTTAGATGCTAAAGGTAACGATATAATCCAGTGAAGAATTCTGTACGGCACATAGCTCAGTGTAATTTGCATTAAGCAACTAGGATGCTACAACATTAATACGGCACACAAATGCACTAAAAACTGATAACAGGTTTCAGAACATAATTGTATATGGGATATCTTTGTCAACTGGATTCTTCATTCACTTTCATTGTTTTTTGGCCCTATGCTATTTGACATCAATGACCTGGAAGAAACCAACATAATCGCTTGCCAATGAGAAAACAATGCAGAAGATAACGGGTTACTGACGTATGTTATTTTGTAAACTGAATACAGCTGGGAGATTCACGATTTCTGTACTTGGCACTGATGTATGCTGTGCTGGAATACTGTGTCCACGGGGGAAATCCAAAATTCATGGTGGGGTTGAGGAATGATGAAGATTACAGGAGAAACACAAGAATGATTCAAAGACTGGAAGATAACCTTTTTGACAAAAGATGCAAGTCCAATCTATTTATCAGTGAGAAAATCAACTTGATCACAAACCTAACCATGAATAAAACAAAGAACTGTTAACAGAAGGCTTTTCAGTTTATCAGAAGTATAGAAAGATAAAATGCTGCAAAATGAAACCAGAGACAGTAACTATCAGAACAATGGGTGAGGATGACTTCTCCATAACTGTCACTAAAAAGAACACACTCAAACATAGAAGAGATATTTACTTAAAAGACAGACTAATTTCAACAGAACAATTCCACGGAGTTTTTGTAGCCTGTGTCAAGCAAAAGGGAGATTCAATTATCACAGCGTATCTTTAGACCTCTTGTATGAATTCATGAAAATGCCACACAGGCAATTATCTTTAATGACATAATCAAATACGTGGCATATGATATGATCAAGATTTAAGAAATACTAATTAAAACAAGTCCTACTAAGGTAATTTTTTAAATTACTGTTTTCATCACATTTTAAGAACCATTCAGTGCCAATTACAGTTGAAGAAAGAGCTTCTAATACCTCAACAAAAATGAGAATAAGCTACCATCTTTAAAGCAGTACAAAAATGTATAGTATAATCCTCTCAATACAGCTGCAAGCTGAGATGCAAAACACTGACCTCTTTATAAATAATTGTACTATTGTTAATACAAGGTACTTAAATATAAATGTTATTTCCTTGTAAAATGGTGTCCTCATTTTTCTAATTTTAAATTAACAATTGTCTTTTGAAATGAGAACACTTTTATATGTTAAACATGACAACTATATAAGAAGATAATTAAGTATCACAGGAAAGTAATTAGTTTACAAGACAGATTTTAATAAACATGTTGTTTTAACTATTGATCAAGTTGGATACAAAACATAACATTACCTGAGCTTTTTCGGTACTTGTTGGTTGTAGATGTCTGTACAGCACTTTCTTCACAACATCAATAAACAAACAAGCAACTACTATGAGGATTATGGCAAACCAAGCAGAACCACTTGACAACAGCTGAACAAATACAAAGTACATGTCCTGGGTATGTAAAAATGGCCTGAAAAGATGAAAGAAGGGGCAATTACTAAAAGGAATTTCTAGAAACAAAAGTACAGCACAGGCAGGATCAAGTGTATCTTATTTTACATCAGGTAGTATGTCTCTCAGGATGCAGAGTCACAACTGCATGGTATTCAAGAAGTCTAGCAATCTGTTGGATCTGACCTGCAAAGAAACTCTCGGGAAGAAGGGTACCAAACATTGGAGGGAAACGTTCTGACTGTGTTGCAGGAAAGCAATCACCATCCTATCCCTCTAAGATCCCAAAACACAAGCAAAAATGCATCACTTCACTGCTGGAAGCCCCAGCATTCTCATTTGTTACAAACATTTACCTATTACACAGAATTTTGGGAGCCTAACTACTTTTCAAAAACCAATAATTCCTTTATAGTCACAGGCTGTCAGACACAATTAATGCCTGTCCTTGAGCACAGGACAGCTTAGCAGCGTGGCTCAAATTTCTAAAAGAATCACTAAAAGCAAGTGGCTACTCTAGGTTTAAATATTTGTGTTCTGACACCTGTCACAAAATTCAGAGCAAGATGGTAGAACATAACACTTCACTGTTTTTTCATAGCTTCATCTATCATCTGTGCTGTAGAAAGGAGAGGGGGGAAAAAAAAAAAAGAATCACTCACCAGATAATTCCCCCATAAAACAAGGAGAATATGAAATAAAATACAATGGATCCCCAAGTAACAAAATGGTTTATCCATGTCCAGAAGTGAGTTTCTAGTGCCATCTAAAACAAAGATAAATTAATTTCCTTTTTCCCCTACTTCATAGAAAATTATAAAATACCAGTCTGAACATATTTATGAACTTTCAGCTCAAACACTAAATATTGTTATAGCATGCAAAACCTACAAAGAAAAATTTTAACCACCACTGAACCCAAACATAAAAATCACTTATCTGGTATCCTCAAGAATCAATTACTTCTGTGTAACTTTTTAATCAATTTTAAATTATTGCTCTATTACATATCTGCCTATAAGTCCAAACAGAGAGGAATTAGTATAGTCACATACCTTCATCGTAACAGTTATAACCATAACGGTGAAGACCAAAGTACCAAATGTCCAGTTTCCAAACATCTAAGAAAACAGCAAGGCAAAAATCATGGAAGAAAAAAAAAAAAAATCAGAAGTATTCACAGTAACTTAGATTCTTCTCAAATCAGCTGCACTAATGAAACAAGTCTGTAGACATAAGCTTGTGACCACTAATCATGAAAAAGCAAGGATACAACACAGACTACTAGAAAAAAAAACCAGATTATGATAGAAGCACAATTAATAACCCACAAGCCATCTTTCTTCTTAGTTCAAAACAAATCACCACGAAGGATACAGGAAATATGAAGGAAGTCCAAAACAGTAACATGAAATGATAGCAAAATGAAGATATCGATTTGATCAATTAAATATAAGCATCCAGTAGAAAGCAAACATTGGGTGGAAGGTATTCACGTTAACATAAGTGCAAAACACTTGGAGTTTAAACATTTCCAGATGTATTTTCAACGTGCAGCATCACCTGAAAGTTCACTTTTACCCCAAGCACAATTTCACAATTCAAAAATAATGGTGCCATTGTATTTTTCAAAGAAAATTCTATGGAAAAGACACTTTGTTTCAAGGCTAATAAACACAGAATTAGACTTCAATTCTAGAACGCTCTATCTGTCACTTTTGGATTCTCTTGCCCGTGTAAATTAAGTTATCAAAACTCTGAACAAGTTGTACAACAATAAAATCTCAGCTCTGACAACCAAGCAGGGATGGTGAGTTTGTAATCTAACACACATGCTACTCAGACACACGCTGCAATTCTACAACAGGTCCAACTGCTCTGCTCTTGTAAGCAGTCTGGGTGCTGAAACTGAAGACATTGCTGTTTCATAGCTATTTCTGCCATACATACTGATCAACGACCAGACCCTAAACTTCCTATTTACTGGTAGCAAACTAAGCAAGCAAGGAGAAAGGTACCACATGCAGACAGGCAAAGTCATCCTAGAGTTGATTTGTTAGTACAGCACAGAGGCACAGAACTGGGATTCACACAGTTGTATTCCTTGTTACAGAGCTCTGACCAAAAAAATCCCAACAGCCTAATGATAGAACTCACAACTGCTTTTCTCATTGAGGCAGCCATAAGTCTAGATTCACTGATAATTTTAAAGATCTTTGTTAATGTGCCTTCTGAAGCCTTCGATTTACTTTTCATACTTACAGTCATGTTTAACAAGCAGCATGCTTGCTGTTAACTGCTGTAATAATAATCTTTAAGTAAGATTAGACTAATGCTCCTGAGTGACCTGTGAAAGAAAGTGTCTTTGCTCACACTGCTCTCAATGGTCACAGAGTTGGAATGCAAAACACGAACAGGTTCTTGCCACCATTTTATTTTTGAACACATTTACACTGTGGATGCTGCATCCTTTAATCTTGTGAAGTAACAGATACAATATTTTGTATCTTCTCCTATTCTAAACTCTTACCATTTGCCTGTTAGGTTTCAATATCTGACGACATGCACAGCATGAAAAGGGGGGGAGAAAAAAAGAACTAAAAGATCAAGTTGTTGCACAATGTGTTGAGGTAAGCCTAATATATCATCAGCATTAACAAATTATTTACCATCTCTTCTATTCTGCTTTGCTCCAAGCTGAGAACTTGGAATGACGATGTGAGGCTTTGCACTAACACTACCCTGTATCACACAGTCACAAGAAGGGATCACTTCTTGAGGGCTTCTTACAAGAAATCCCTTTGGCAGTACATTAGCTTCTCTTGCCCTTAACTTTGGCTTTTTCAGGCACACATTAAATCTGCAAACACACTTTATGCACCACAGATATTTTACTGCCACACACAGTTCTACCAGTTTCAACAACCATCTTTTAGCACAGAGAGGTAGAGGCTAGCTCTAAATAAAATCTAATACGTTTTTTAAGTCACATCACAGAAAACATGAGAAGCCAAAGGGCATCTGAAAGCTTTATTTCCAATATACTCATTCACTAAGTATATTTAAAAAACCCTAAGGTCAATTTATACAAGAAACCATTAAAAGAACCTTCTCCATAAAGTCTACATTAACACACTGGTCTAGACCTAACAGAATATAATTTGTTCCCCAAACTAACATTTGTTATTAAATTCAATGAAAAAAGTCTGTTCCTGCCTTTTGGACGTTTACTAATCAATTCTGAAGTGAGGCGCTTTGACAACTAAGACAGATGCACAGAAACACACCGATTCATAGTGTAAAATTACTTCATTAGAAGAGTACTGAAGGTCCTTTACCAGTTCACAGGAATTTCAAAGTCACACAGCTTGTAACAAATGACAAGAGGGGACACACTTATATCTCAGTTGCAAGAGACATTTTAGTCTAAAAAATACAGCTATTTTAACATTCTTAACAAACACCCCACAATGAAATAGATATTCCAGCCAGCTGCACCACTCCCCCTTTATTGCTCCTTTCTCCGCAGGGATGCTAACCACTCGTTCAACTGCTCTCTGATTTTAGTCACTCAAGACAATTCTGGCCATTGTCTGTACACCATTATATGGAAACCCTTTTTTTGGCTAAACTTCCTGAGCTCATGTCCACTCCCTATCACCAGGTGACCACTGTGAATATAGCATGATGGTATTTTCATATCTTGTGCCCTAACCTGCAACTCTACCAAACACAATTGAAGAATCAGCAAGTAAGAATGGCATAATGAGAGAAGCAAATGTATTTCTGCACTGCTACCCACAAGAGTGTTTTATGACAGAAAAATCAGTATCTAATCATTCTAAGTTGCGTTAACTAACTCAGAACTGGGGAAAATGAGGAAACAGACTTGTAATGGTTTTATCCAAGCTTTACTTTTTGTGTATGATTTTCCTGTGAACTTTAACATCTTTAAAATAGAACGTGTCAAATTAGTATTTGATTATTCATTAAGTTATTGTCTTAAAAAGATCACTGAATGAAAAGTATAATTTAAAAGCAGCTTGCACCACTGAATTTTTAAAAATCATGAGTAATTAAAATAATACATTTTCAGGAGAAGCTTTAAGACTTTTGGCAACTTTCAGGTTTAAGACTAATTTTATAAGAGATGCTAAAGAGAAGCCAATGTTTGACATTGCAATTAAGTCCAACTCAAAATCAGTTTTGAATGAATTCTCATTTACTGAAGTTATAACATGATTTTGACAAAAACAGTATACAAAATTTAAAAAAAGTTGAAGACAACCATAATACATTTACAATCCTGAAAGATATGTTCTTCATGGACATACGCTTTCTGACAACACATCTTACGTTTTCCACGCTAAGAAATATTACTCGAGAGCACAAATAAATATTGGCAAAGTATATTCGGTAATTGTGTTGTTCATAAAAATAGCTTAAGATTTTTCTAACACAAGAGGACTTTTCAAAAAAACCTAAGAAATATCACCAAAAATAAAGTGGTAGAGTAATTCTTATGATACTGTACCTGGCCATTTCCCAGCAGAGAAGTGTCTTCTCCCATTAGAAGATACGAGCCATAAAAAAAAACAAATGCATGAAAGAAGCCCAAGATGGTCCAGTAAAGAAATGGTTTATATCCCAGATGGGCATTTTTACTGATGTCTCTGCAAAAATAAAAACAAATTTTGGATTTCAGGTTGTCCTTATATAATCCATCAGCTATTCACATTGCATGACTGCTACTGCTTTGAATAGATGTAACTTTCAGCTGTACCAAGATACATTTAACAAATGCTGACATATGAAAAAAATACATAAAACATGGGCAAAAAAAGAACTCTGAGCTCTCATGATTTGCCTCTGCTTTACACAAGGATCATCAATGGCAAAGAGCAAATTCAGAACAGCACAAACTAGAATTCTTGTCCCTGGAAGTGGAATTGCAAGAGGAAGAAAACATCAGATCTCCTGATACTTGCCCCTTGTTCTGCTTAAAAGACCTTTACAAAAATACATACTTTTTCCCCTCCAAAAAACAGTATGCAGTGCAACATGCTACCACTGGGAGGACATCCAATTCTACAGAATATCACCTCCCCTTTTAGTAAAGCATTTTTTGGTGGCAATTCCCCTAATCACAGTGTCCCAGGTTTTCATTTGTGTGTAATGGAGAAGGCTGCCAATCATGTAAGCCGACCAAGAGCTCAATTCTCTTCCAGTCTTAACATGACAGACAAAACGACGCTTCTCTGAAAATACTCACTCATTTAGGATGGAAACTATGTGGCTGCAGTTCTTCATCATCAAGATAAGTTACTAAAAACTGGATAAACTACAGATAAAAATACCGTCGGAATACATAATAGCAAGTTCACACTTCCACAGATGCCACTGTTGTTCTAAATTACGTGCTACTGTGACAATATACATAAGATATACATACCGATAGAGCACAGGTTTACTTTGTAATACATGCGGATGCACATGCTGTTCAAAAAGACTGTATATGAGGACAGGCAAGGAAGTGAAACAAATATTGTACAAAGTCAGGTATACGCTGTCATAGAGCGTCTGAAAACGGAAACAAAAATTATTTTGAGTCTTGTAAGGAAAAAGAGTTATGTTAAAATTTATTAGCACACTAATAGCAGCAACAAATCATTGATTAAGTGAATTTCCTAGTTAGAAAAAGCTATACTCACATAACCATCTAGTAACATCAAACTATCAAATACAGAAAATGAAGCTGAATATTTCTTAAGTGGAAAATCTGTGCTGCTCCTGTGTAGTTATTCCCAATTTTTTTAGTTATTTACCCTGAGTGTTTCATACACTTTTATCAAGATGTAAGGCATCCAATACTTACTTGTTGTGAAAACAAACAGAAGAACTGATATAAAAATTGTGGTGTAATAAAGCACACATTCTGAAAAAAGAAAAGTGGAAGAAATAGTTAATCCTCAATACATGCCGCACAACCCTGAAAGAAAGTGATAACGCTTACACACTGGTAAAAATACACAGAGAGAGCATGAAGCATTTCAGCATTTTACTTGACAAAGTGAAGTAATATGCTTTGCATGAGAGCATATTTTGTTTGTCCTTTGGGACAATGACCCTGAAAAATATAAATTGTATGTGCTTGATGAACACATCTCATTACGGGAGTACAAGTAGTATTAAAGGAGAAGAAGTTTCCTTTTAAAAATTTCTTTGCAACAGTTTCCACATTTCATTCAAAGAAGCCTGTGCCCTACTCATGTCTACTCCCATGCAAAAAGCTCACAAAACAGAAACCAAAACCTAACACTATGCTGGTACCTCTAAACAGAAGTAGACAATAGAAAATAAGAAGTGGCTGCTCCATGCCCACAGCTCCCTGAGAGGTATCCAGAGATAACTCAGTCCCTGGTCCTTACTTCGCTTGCAGTTTTCACCTCAGAATTTCTTCAGTCAGGGCTGGGACTGTTAAGTTTTTTCAAAGGTCAGCCTACTGGCAAAAAGCACGCTCTCTCCCCATCACACTTTCTGTGGGTCCTTCCCTCCCTCAACTACTTCCTGTGCTCTTTTTCCCTTTTAGCAAAGATGAATGGATTTGGTTTGTATTAAATCAATAAACAAAACAGGTTGTACTTTTACATCTTGCTAAAGAATGCATTTAATTTCAAGCTACTAATACTGCTTTCACAGAGCAAACATGTCTGCCTGTCAGCCTAGGCAAACTTATTGTGGTATTTAAAACCTGTTTCTAGATGGAAGGACTCAACAACTGCATAGTTAGAACTACTGCATTTGGTTGTAAAATATATTAAAAAGCCCAGAAAACATGTTTGAACAGATATTTAACCTGTTCCCAACGAAAATCTTAGACCTGAAATAAATTTCTTGCGGAGAAACAGTTACACATTTTTCTGTGAACTTCACTGGCACTCTTTGAAGACTTACCTTATAAAAAAAGTACTGTACAAGGGTTGCTATTCTAATATAGTAAAAGTGCCCGTGAACAAAAAGCAACTTGGAGAGGAATTTAAACCGTGCTATTGCATAGTCACTGTTTCTTACAGCTTGCCTTCCTTCCTTGCCCATGATTCCTGTAATATTTGAGAAACAAAACAAAAAACAGATTAAATGTTATGAAAATTAAAGTTTAAAAAACCCAAACAACATACACCTGAAGCTACAGCTCTGTTTACCTGCTCTTCAATGTTATAACGACTTCAGCAACTTTCAGTTCTAAAAGAAGGCATTATTCCTGACACAACTAAGGGAAACAGCTCATTTGATGCTGGTTTAATTAAAAATCAACCAACCAACACCCCGCTATTTCCGTAAACTATACTTAAGATTTATGGCAAGACCTAGGAATAACATAGAAAACCAAAATTCCCAAACCAAGCAAATCATTATCAATCCATCATGAATTTACTTAGTGTGCTTTACTTCAGAGAGGTTTTTTCTTACACTACTTTCTGGAAATAATATAGGACCTATACTCAACAGCACAATTAAAGAAATGCAGTTCTTACGATATCAGTTTACTTAATCTGATGGGCTGACAATGCTTGTCACAGCTGAACACAAAATCATTTCTAAAAACTATTGTTCAGATGAGGATAAGCATACACACAGAACACAAAATGCTCTTTTACAGAAGAAAAGTGGCCCAGAATTCCTGATAACACAACACTTAAAAAAAAAAATAGTCTGAAGGTCCTGTCACCCTCAAATGGCAAAGACTTGCTAGTTCTGACCAGTGTACATGTAATATCTAATATGTCACAGATTACAATAAAAACTTGGATAATTTTATTTTTAATAAGCTTCAGTTAGTTGACAAACTAGCTGTAGAATAAAGCATCATTTGCTATTGGCCTGTAACCTCCTCAAGCAGGCTACTCCCATGGTCTTAAAAATCATAGACACATGATTTAGGTGATAAACATTACATACACCTTTTTAATCACAAAGTATGACAGATAGAATATGTTGATGTATCAATACCTTACAGAAGAACCTTCAAGATTCCCTATTCTAATAAACACCATCCAAAGTCAGTAAAGGAAATACAAAACCATTACATGATGGGTACCAATTCAGTTATATGTACATTTTGTTTTGTACTCGGTTATAAAACACAGCAAGAAGAAAGTTTAAAGAAGGTCCTGGCTAGATAACAGAAAACAATATAAACAGAGAGAAATACCAAGCTTAGCTGAAAATCAGTAACAGCCTCTCAAGAGATACAATGAAAGCCTTCTCCTCAAAGACAAACTAGACACAGATGGCATTTCAACAGTGACTCAGACTCGGTGCAAACAGGGGCTGTTTAGTGCAAAGAAAGGTGTAAAGGTCAAGTTTACACAGGAACTCAGAACCTGACAATGTGTGAAGTCAGAGATAGCCACTTCCAATATATAAAGCTGAGTATTGCTGAGATTCTACTTACAGAAAATCTTTGCTGTTCTTAAGGCATCATTAAGCAGGACCTCTAATTATTGGTAGACTACACAATAAACCTAAGACTTCTAAAAGCAGACAGCCTTAAATGTTAAATTTCACTAAAACTCTGCGACAACAGATGACTCAGATTAACACCCTGTCATTCACAGGTGCAAAACCATTACAAGCTTAGCTGTTTATGAACACTGTTCATGACCAATTCCTCTACTAAAATTTGCATTTTATTTGTCTTTATTTCCTTTGGGAAAAGAAAGTTACCTATGCCAACATGTGCTTCTTGTATCATGCTCACATCATTAGCACCATCACCGATTGCTAATGTTATAGGTTTCTCTGGAGATGTTTTTAACAGTCGCACTACCTGGAACAAAAACAAGGGCAGAAATTTTTCAGATTAGAGAGACAGTCTACTTACAAACCATGCCACTAATTCCCAAGTATCTTTCTTAGTTATCTACCTGTAAATATAATTAATATGTTTTATGTAAGTGGCTTCTTGGGTCAAAAACATCTTTGGACTATCACATGAGCAAATTCATAGCTCCTTTAGAAAAGTTGCTCGCTTTGGGGCACAAGCCTTATTTAAATGTTACGGCTGCCTTGAGCTTCTTTTGCTGTTCTTATTTAGATGGTCTTCTACAACTCTAAATTTGGTGCTTTAATCATACAGAATAGTGAAGTAAAAGTTAGAATTGAAAATTTACTGAGGAAGTAATCCAGATTTAATGCCCCTTACTAAACGTGCCCAGATTCTTCACATGTTCAACTAACAGAACTAATCAGTATAAAAGAGGAATCTGAAAAAAACAATGTTATTAGCTCAAAGATCAATACATGCTGTTACTGAGGTAAATAGTTGCTTTTTATTATCACCAGTAGGTATTCTCAGCTGGGAAAGTCACAGAAGAAGACATGACTGAAAAGAGGAAAATAATTGTTTACATACAAGGCTCTAAAATACTCAAAAGACCAGCAGCAATATCCTGTTCTTCACAGAAAATAAACAGATCTATAAGGTAAGTGCCAACAATATTCTAAATAGAGAGGAGTTAGATGAGGCTTTTGGTGAAGGAGATTTAGTAATTCATAGAGCCTTAACTAAGGAGCTTCACTAATTCAGTTGTAAATGGACTGCAGAGGTAAAGGTGTGAATGCAGATCCAGAAAGACTTCCTAAAAACAAAACATATTTATCTATGAAAAAAATACTGCATTTTCCCCTGAAGTTCCAGAAAACCCAAAGTAGAAATACCAACAGAGCAACAACTACATGAGGTAAGTAGACACAAACAACTGTATTCCAACGACTGAGTTCCAGTTGGCAGCGTCAGTGCATTGACTTCTAGGAGTAGTAACTCACTTCACCCAAAGAATACAACAGTGATAAAATCCACAGTTCAGAGAAGTCCACCTGATTGTGGGAATACCTTCCCTAATTGCAGGTATTAATAAGTTTAAAGGTTCCCCATCCCTAAGGGGTAATTATTTCAGATACATTTCACATTAGATCCTAGTAAGCAGCCTTAAAGAGGTAGCAAGGCTGCAGTGTGTCCCTCAGATCAGTCCTCATGAGATACCAAAGACTGTGGTTGGTAATTTAGACAAACATCTGCACTAAAAGGTCCAGACAAATCCTCCGGCAAATTTTAACAGCAATCAGCAGCAGCTCTGAATGGCTCACATGAAAGATCTTTTAAAAGGTTTCCAAGCCATAAAATATACAAAAATAAGTAGTGAGACCATTAGCCATATATTAACAAGCATTAAAATTAAGGGGAAAGATGCAGGAAATATTAAACAGAGTTCCAGCTTAACCTTGGAATAAACCTCACAAAAAGGATGCCTACAGCAGAAAATCAAATGCAAGGCTAGACTAAACTGCCATACACTTCCTTCCCCACCCTTCCCTCCCATGGTGTATGGCATTTGTCTCAGTGATTTATATACTTTAGCATTTAAAATTAAAAAGTCACTGCCATCAAAATTAGGTTTTACTGTACTTCATGACAAAACACAGGAAATAATGGAGATTATCTGCTCAACAGGGTAAGAATTAAGAAAAGCATTATTGTCTGCCATATGTCAAATCTGGCTGTACAAAACACATTATAAATAAAGTTAAACAACAAAATAAGAACAAGGACACAACATAGGGAATTTACACCTTAAAGAGCAAAGTGGACACATTCAACAAATTGTACTACTCACAGTAGTTACAAACAACTTCCTCTTAACATTTTATCAAAACTAATATTATAACAAGTTTTATATACAGCTGAACAATTTTATAATGAAGTCATTCTAAAGACGGCATTAAAAGTCTGGCTAAATGTTGTAAGCAGGAAGAATGACATCGAAACAGGTCACTCATGCTACAATAAACCAGCCTGTCCTCTTTTGCACATCTAGTACCTCACATAAGGGTTTCCTAGTGCTTTAAGGCAAAAAAAGCAGTCTTTTTTCCTTTTCTTTTTGACGAAGTATAAAAATAAGAGTGGGCAGTATCCTTTCAAAGGTTTACTATTACTGGAAATAAACGCAAAAAGCCTTTAAAGTATATAGATAAGCTGAAAGTATAAAATACTCCAAAAGAGGTATACAATCAAATATCGTATATTTATTTGTCAGGAAAACAAAGCAAACAGTTCCAGAAATCCTTGCCTCCTCAAAGCATGATAAAAATACAAGAGAACCCTGATTACATTATCACTTACCTTCGCTTTCTGAAGGGGTGCCATGCGACAGCACAACACTGCAGAACAGTTTTTGCAAACCTCCATGAACAGTTTTTCATGTTCCCTGAGTGCAAGAGAGAGGCTGGTCCCATCCACAACCAGTCCATGCTGGATAACATGGTCTTCCTTTATTCTATTCAGGGACAAAAATGTTGTCTTTGTATCGGTGTGATGAAAAAATTTAAATTTTGCTATGAACTATGTGGTTGCCCATACAATACACAAACCAGTTAGCCTGTTAGACAGACTGCTTCTTCATGTCTGTTACTATATTAATAAATACAATCTTTAGGCAACTTCACGTATTTGGCACATACATCAAAGAGATTGTCATAAAATTTGAAAATAAAAGAAAATCAAGCTAAGATCATCACTGAGATAATGACATCTCCGGTATTTTACCTCTTGGCTAGCTGCCTCAGTTGTTCTGCACATGTACTGTCTGACTTGTGTTGCACAAGCTCAAGGATGTTCATGGTTCTATGAAAGTGTCCACAGGACAAACTGACACTAACAGCCGTTTCGTGCTTATCTCCAGTGAGTACCCACACTTTGATACCAGCCAACCTGAGTGCTTCTATAGTTTCTTGGACTTTCTCCTGCAGCCTAGAAACAAGAAAAATCTTAAATAACCAGTCAAACACTTTACAAAAATGAGCTCACACTGTAACGCCATGTTACTTTTGTAACCTCACTATCATCATGATTTAAGACTGCATGTATTTTCAGAGAATTATAAATCTGGCATGTGACATTCTGTTACCAGCAATAAAACAAAGGCCTTGAAACAAAACACTGAACTTCAATCCTATTAAGTCATCAAAAATTTGTAATAAGCATATCAATTTAAATTAGGCATTGTTGCTGCATTTCAGAAGCTTTAGAACAGTCCACAACAACGACTATCTAGTGTGGTGCTTGAAAAGCTTCTAAGTGCTACATCTGTACCCTCCAGTGTACAATACATCCCCTGATTTACAGAATACACACTATACAAGCAGAATGCTTTGTGGAGTAGTTATGTGTAGAAGTCTTCCCAAGGAATTAGCCATTACTCTCTATATTTACTGCAATTATTCTGTTTCACATACATTAAATCTCCCCTGATGAAGCACACTGTACGTCATCACTATTAAGCCACAATCATGAGGTACAACGTGTGTTTTGAATGCTCCTCAATCCAAAGAGTGGTAAACATACTAAACAAAAATGGCACAGAACTTCTGGTCGTGACAGGAGAGTTTTTCATGGCATACATCATATTTCAGTTATAAATCCTAAACTTGCTATGTTTTTGAGTGTAGTTAGCAGAAACTCCATTGCATACTTGTCTTCTACTCCTGTAGCCCCAAGTAATTCCAGATCCCTTTCTATGAAGTTGAATACATCTGCTAATCTTTCTTCCCGCTGTTGTAAGGCAGTCCTGGCCTCATGAAGGCGCTTGCCAATTTCTTGATACTCCTCAGGTGTGAATCTTCTGTAGGCTACGCACAAAGTTCTTAGTCCTTTCTGTGAGAAAATAAAAGACTACATTCAGAGTAGACAAGATTCTGATCTAACAAGAAGGTGTCACCTGCAATTCGCTCACTTCCAAGTCACAAAATTTTTACTGGAAGAATTTTCTTCCGATCAGCTGGGCAAGCATATACGCTTACCAAAGCAAATTCATCCACATGTATCCTTGTTTTGTCTATTTCTCCACTCTTACTACGTGGAAGAATGGAAGATTCTGCTCCCTTTGTGAATAAAAGCTTTTCCCCTAAAAGTAAAATAGAACAGAAATTAAGAATACATATGATTTAAGAAGTTCTCAACTGCAGCTTGTGCAACTTCTGATCACTTACCTGAGGGGCTCTCTACAATGACGCTCATTCGTCTGCGATTTGAATCAAACTCCAAAACATGAAGCAATTTATACCTGTATTTTGTGTTTTAATAGAAAGGGGGAAAAAAAAGATTAGAAATAAATTTCCAAACAAAATTACTTATAAATATACTCTTACCCTACAGAGCTTTCCTCAAAGTGTCATTTTTATATAGAAACTTTAAAAGTAATGCTACCACTGTTAAGCAATAATCACTCTTATCAGTGTTTGTGCAAAACACTGTTGATTGCTTTTTCACCACTTTACACATACTTAATTCCCTTCTGTAAGAATAAAAGGTTCTTCTACTGATGGGAATAGTTTTCTGAACACTGGTTTTACATATGGAGACTACTATCAGATCTTACCTATTCCTTTATCCTTCTATCATTATTTCAGGTGTTAATTTGAAAACTACTTTTTGTTTCTAACACTTGTAAACAATCTACACAGTCAAAAAAGAGAGTAAGTTCCCTGATAACTGGACTATTTTTTATATTACTATTAGTTTAGAAAATTAATTTTAGACAGAGGTTTAAAGTACTGCCAACTAACTGACACAGATCTAATCGATAAAAGGTGTTATGACATACCACAGATACACAGTTATCAATAATATTTCTACTCACTTTGGGACAAGTTTAAAATATGTAACTAGATTATGCATACACGAGACTGATTCTGGGAACTTCTAGATCTGAAAGCACAATGATTCTGGGAACTTTTAGAGCTGAAAGCACAACCTGTAAGAGCTGAATCAGCAATCCAGTTTTCCAACTCTACTACAGTCTCAACCTTTGAGAAACGGGCAAAGATACAAACCGCATTAATACACACCTACAAGTATTATCTGTATACAGATACAGAGTGACTGACACAAAATTCTTGCATCTCAGTTTTGATTGGTAAGGAAGATGCAAGCTTTCTTGAAGACATCAAGGGAAAAGCATTAAAAAGAGCACGCTGTGGAAAGGCAAGGTTTTCTTATGAACAGAGAGGATTAAGAGAAGATCACTACTGTTCTGTCCTTCAAAAGAAAAAAGGACTAAAACCAAATACCTTTCTGGTGTTCCAAGACTTTTTACTTCCATACTGTCCCCACTAGTTCCAGTAAATACTACTCCAACCCTAAAAGGAAAAGAAAATATATGTCTAATCATCACTTCAGACATAATACCTATTGACTGGGGGGGACATGGGACAGCAGGACACAAGAGGCTCTGATCTCTTTCTAAAGAAAATGAAAAATGCCACTTTCTACAATATTTTAATAGCAACATACTCTGTCCACTATAATCTCTCAAGGGTTACCATAAATAATTTAAAACATCACTTTATAGTATGTCAAGGGGTTTGTGTATTTTATATGTTCATAGTGCTAGGCCCTGGGCTTTACAATCTGCCTGAGCCATTTTTAAGGTTGCTTTCACTGTGAATTGCCTGCCCTAGTAGGCAATTTCTACATGAGATAGTTTTTGCAGGACAGCTCACCGGCTTGCAGCTTCAACTAAAGCTTTCTCATCTGGTGAAGAAGCATAATACTCCAATGGGGATGTTACTCCACTGGCATGCCAGGGACCATCAGCACCATCTGTTTGATCTGCATTGATCTGCACTGTATGACAAAGACAAACTGCTTTCAAGAAGAGTTCTTCCTCTTTCATCTGTAAGAAAGAAAAAACTTCATCTGTAACATTTCCATATCGACCAAGTTTTGAACATACTTCATAAAAATGTTATTACTTTGTAATACATAAAAAGTATACGTTTTTACTTTAAAATATTTTAAAAGTATTACACATTAAATAATCATATCTCAACATGTTTAATAAATCTTATTTGTTCAGTAACAATAGCTTCAAACGATTCAGGAACTGTAATTTTTTAAAAAAACCACTGATGTTAATTTCTCTGAAATAAAACATTTTCTATCTAGGATGCCTAATAGGGGGGAAGTCTTACCAAACTGTGCCTATTTCCATCTGGAGAATCTTCAGAAAACCCCTCTGGAGTTAATTTACCATTGACTTCTTGGTACTTTACACCATTAATGGAGCACTCCCGAAACTGCATCTCATTTTCAGTTAATGTACCAGTTTTGTCTGTAAACACATACTCTACCTTTTGTAAAATAAAACAAAAAAGAGCATTGGAGTTACATGTATTTGTTAGAAGAAAAAACCAAAATAATCTCCACTCACACTCTTCTCTGTACACCTTTTTTTGATCATGTAAATATTTTAGTTTCTGCTATCAGATATTTATACCTTATTTTTAAATTAATCAGAAAGCAAAGTTCAACCAATAAAAAGTCTGCAGTAATGAATTTTAATATTAAAAAAGTCAAAAGTAGAACATAAAAAAAAGAAACAATGTATTTTTTACTCTACCTGTCCCAATTCTTCATTGAGATCTGAAGTATTTACTTGTGCTCTCTGGTTTGTTTCTTTGTGATAGAGGTCAAGATCCCAGCCAATAAAAAAAGATCCAAGAAATTTCTGCATCTCAACAGTCACGTAAAGTGAAATAGGTATTATAAAATTGTAAAGTACCAGAAAAGCAAGAAAATCTGAAATAAATCTCAGAATCTACAAGAGAAAAAGAGAAAATGTAAAGATTACTGTAGTGAACAGGCGAAACAAGGTTACTTAGTTATGTTTCAATATGCATGAAAAATGCCAAATGGACAGAGCCGGAGGAGACCAAGTGTCACAAACACATGAGACAGGCAACACGCAAAGTGACAATGCAGGTACTTCCAGGTTGCCCCAGTAACGCGCCTTCGGACAGATGCAAAAAGACTGCCTTAAGCTACGACTGGATTTTTCAGTTCTCAAGTTCATTAATTTTTGTCCTTTCTGACGAATTTGTCAGGAGGGCTGCCAATTAACTGTCACGGTGATTCTATTTTCAAACAGATCTCTTGAAAGAGTTAGGTCTAGAAAAACTAACGTGTTCCCCATGCCATCAACCAGCACCATTTACAGGCTTTTTTAAGGAACCATAAATGGTGAAGGCAAACAACTGGTATTCCATGTTGTCAGAGGAATCCGCAAGTATTCTGTATTGGTTTAGGACAGCAGAGCGACAAGAGGGTTTCAGTCTACTGGCATTCCCAAGTGACATGGGTGATCCAGACTACATGACAAGAAAGAGACTGTGTGGATTTCAATGGCACAGACTTCTTTTATGCCTCTTCAAATCACTGTTCAACACATACATTTCAGGTAAACAGCTAGGTAATAGGATAGAAATTTCTCTTTATTAGGTAGGACAATTTAACAAATTCCGAAATGCTACATTACAGTCCCTTTGAAGTTTCTTCTTCCTTTGTAAAACAAACTCATTACCTAAATTGCACTTTGGGAAGACTCTTACCAACACCTGATTATTGAGCAAGGGAGATTAGAGGTGAGAAAAACTGGGACATCTCTTTCAACCCTACCAGATATTGGTATAAGAGAACCTTTTGAAGAAAGGGAGCATAAAAGTAGTCAACAGTTTACAAAGCTAAACAATGTCTGTTCTTCCTAATTAGGGAGTGTTGCTATAATTACTTAAAAGTCAGTACCAATAATTAAGGTGTCTAACAAAAACTCAGGAAGTTCTGTGCCTTAAGACATCTTCCAAACTAAACAAGAAAAGACAGATAAAGACTGAGAGCAGTAATTCATGGAAGAGAAGATACACTGAGAAGACGTGACAATTACTAAGGTTAGAGAGTTTCTTCAAGTCTGTCTATTAAATAACAATCTGCAGAACACAGGATAGATGAACTCCAAATACAGACGTCAGCATATCAAGAAATGCAAAGCAGATTGTGCAAGTAAACAAAGGAAAGAGAAAAATAAAGACATGATAGGAGAGTCACAGGCAGAAACACAGATGGCTCTGTATGCTCCTGAAGGCAAAGGTAAAGGAATGGAAAGATTGAGTAAATACTTACTCCAATTCTATTCAGAACAGAAAAGGCTCCACAGACTACTCTAAGTTACATAGCAACTACTTCAAATTAAGAGGAGCCAAGAATTTACTTGACTGACCAAGCAGTTGAAAGTGCATTAAGTGGGTGCAGGTACTAAAAATAAGTCATTAAACATTTTGAGAACTTTACTAAATTTAGTACTTTTCAACAGTGAAACTTTTAGATAAGAATATTTTAGAATACACTGAAGTTTTTGGTAACTGTAGTGATAACCTGAATTAGTAATTTTAAACAGAACACAGCATGGAGATATTTTTCCAGTTAAACCACAAAAACACTTTGCATGACAAGGTTCTGAGAAAGCTGCATGTTCTGCGGAAGTGCCAGTAAACTCTTAACTCTCCTTGAATCAAAGACATTCTCAAATTACTTTTTTCCTTCCTGAACCACTATGTACCGACTGGAAATTTCACTCTATTTGTGAAGCAGAGCAGAACTCTCCTGATTCAGGATTTGGAACTTCTTGCACACATGGCACGTGGTGAGCACATTCAAGTCTCAAGCCTCTGGGAGATGGGGAGGGTGTGGCTGTTAAACATTTGACACCACATCACATGTGGCAACTGGATTTCCAACTCATCTGTGCTTTGAAAATCCCCTCTACACCTTAGAAATCAGCTCCAGTCATTCCTGAACTGCTTTGGAAGAAGGAAGACTTGTAGAGAAATCAAAAATTAGAACACAGAAAAACGGAGAATGATTAAAAAAAAGAGACTACTTGGAACTAAAGACTTAAGGAACACTTTGAAATATACCTCCAATCTCTAGAGAAAATTGAGAAGGCAAGCAGGAGCTTGAGCAAAATTACAGCCTTACAAAATTGTGTGAACAATTTTAAACATCACAGGATATCCAAAGGGCCTGAGCTGTGAAATCACTGCAATGAAACGTGCACAAAAACAGCCATCCTCTTCCTCTTTTCATTTAAGGAATGACAAAAGACACCCAAACCAACAATAACTATAATAAGAACACAGAACACGAGGAACATGTTCTAACAAACCCCAAAATTTTCAAACAGCTTAGTCTCTTCATAAAGGAAGAAAAAAGTCCAATCAGTAACGGGTAAGATATTTCTACACAAGGGTGAGGCTACATAGGACTAACTCTCTCAAAAATACTGAGACAACAGCACATAGACTTGCAAGTGGATCATGTGGTACTTACACCTATATTCAAGAGTAGAGACATAAGAAATATCACATTCAGTATCCAGTGGTTATGGGTTCCTCACACACACAACTGCATAGAACTACATTACCTTACTGCTGTTTCTTTCATGCTCTGTCTTTTCATTATACCAAGGCTCATCCCATTTTTCTTCAGCTTGCCACGCATACTTTAAAATAGTGCTCAGAATGGCTTCAAATAGGAGGATTATTAGATAAATAATCAAAAAGGAATTCATGGACCTACAGAGGCAAAAAAAGCAATTTCAGTTTATTTTATGTAGTCTGTTGATACACTGTGATTACATGAATTGATCAAAAACTTAGCGGACAAATTTTTTTTCAATGTATCCCATGTTTGATATGGATATGAAGTTTCTATGTGACAAGCAAGCAGCAGAAGTGAAAAGAAATCCTACATCTGGTTTAGATATACTCTACATATAGTAATATGAAGACTAGATTAAGGTGCAAGAATACCCTACAGCTGGCTTGGGTCACACCTGTAGTCGAAGATATTGGGGGCTGACTTACCCTTCTCTTCTTCCCTGAGTATCTAGCAAGGCTGTGAAGGCAGTACAAGCAACCACAGTGGAAATCCAAGGCTGCACCTTTTTCTTAAGTTAGAAGAGCACTACCATGTGCATCTGATTATTTAACTCAGGCCACAATATACCAGGATATAGCTGAACTTTTCTTGAGCACTCTACAGTTCTGCTTGCATCTGGCTATAGAATAATAATCAATCCCATGTTTGCAAAAGAATGCTGGGAGGCTACCTCAGATTTTTAGTAACTAGAATAAAAGCAACACATCAGAACTTCTTTTCCATTAAAAAATAATTCATGAGGTTCGATATACAAGTCTCTATTGTAGTAGCATCTATCCTATAACTACGAGCAAAGATTTTTAAAACTGAGCCCGCGACTTGTGCTAGAAGCAAGATTCACTGCAAAACATATCCGGATATCCTTTAGAGTGTGTGAAACAAAGCTCTTGTCCATTCTATCAAATACTACAATTCAGGATAAGACTTGTAAGCCATTAAGTCTTCATTTCAGTCTGTCCTCTTTAAAGGCATGATGCAGTTTTTCAGTAGAAGATGCAGAGAACAGCAGAGGCTGGAACTGTTGTGAAAATTATCTCTGACCATCTGGCTCAAGCAGCATTTCACCTATCATTAAATGATCTCCACATCTCAAAAAACAAACCTCCCAAACTAACTTTTTCTGCTTTAGTCCTTTTTAAGATCAGGTATTTCAGCTTTGTACACCACTGAAAGAATAAATAAAGGATGAAAAAGAATGAAACACCAAAAAACCCAGAATTTTGTCTTTATAGGTTCCTATTGGAGGCAAAGGAATTACACTCTCTTCCCTTGTCTACAACCCAATGACAAGATCATCAGGGTTTTAAAGTTACCAAGGAAAAACTAAGTTAAAACTCTACAAATAAGAAAGATATTAGAAAATAAACATACTTTTCTACTGCTGACCGTTTCTGAGATTTACTCTTGTAATTTAATGCCATCTTTGTCTCCATACCTGTATACACTGCAACACCTGGGAAGGAAGGAGAGGGTGGGAGAAAGAGATATACTTTATTTTCTGCATATATACAATTTGCAGCATTTTTGAGTTTAAAAGACAGGTGATATTAGTTTTGTGTTTACCTCAGCACAATGGTGAGACAGCATTTTGTATTTGCAATATTCCGCTACATTAAAACAGTATTCCTGAGGTAATTTAACACCAGCTAAAACACTGTTCATTATTATGACTGTACTGTTCTTCAGTATGTATTTTACGGAAATCAGAATGATAAATCTCTGGAGAAAGTCTTAAACAATGGGTAACAGTAACAACAGTCATTTATTCATTGAAGTTAAGCTATTCCTTTGTCAAACCACTTCAAATATTTTCAGAGAGGAGCTGGAACTTTATATCCTTAGAGATTATCATTACTTTCATCTATAATCATATCCCCTCAGGTAACAGTCAACAAGATTATTACAAATTCTTCAGTGCAAGTAGAATTAAACCACAGTTCATCAACATGTTTTAAGAAAATAATACTCTTTAAATATTTAGATGTCTACAAACCAAATATTTCTTTAGTGTTTTTTAATCTTGCTCCTCGAAGTAAGAGACTTTCAGGTCCAAGAGGTCTAAAAAGAAATAGACATATCAGCATTTAAAAATTAGCTGTTCTGTATACTATAGGACTAGTGAAATCCAGTTTCCTATCACAGTTGTCCTGTATCCCCTATGAATTCCCACCACAACTCCTCCAACTCCACCTTCATTTAGGTCCACCTTTGATCCTCTTACCCCTTGTACCATGCCTCACCCACACATCTCCAGAGCTCTCAGTTGCCTTTCATGTCTCCCTTGGTCACTGCCACAGTCTCCCAACACTGTTCAATATCCCATAATTAGTGATTGAGCTAAATATACCAAATGGCTGCTTCAGAAAGACCTGCATGTTACTTGAGAAGCTAGCAGGCAAAAAAACTTGTTGAGCTCACAGTGCAACAAGAGGGCTATTTTTGGTTTGATTCTTTTCCCTATCTTACTCCTACCCCTCTGTCAAACTGAAATGATCTCGCAAGTTCAAAATCTAATCACACCAGAGAAACACAGACAATACATGGACATGTCACCACAATAGTGCAAGTTCTGCTTCCTAACACAAGACTAGAATTTTATAAATTTTTTTTTCCTCACATCTATCACTCCACAATAATACATTAATTTCATAGGTGAAGATAACCATAAACAGTGCTGTGAAAATAAAGGCCCAGTTAGAATCAAGGCTGATATAAGGTTAGGGTCAATAGCTGTATCATTCTTAGAAACTGCCTGAAGGTTTGGTTTGAAATAAAAAAAGGAAAAAAAAGAAAAGAAGAAAGGTGCATTCACTATTTTGGCAGCATTTCAATGAAAGCAAACTGAACAACTGCAGTGGCCAGGTTGACATACTGGGTATAAGCAAAGGAATTGAAGATCATATACTAAGTGCTACAGGCATACAAGCCCTTGGGTTTGTCTTTTCCATTAGCTGTACCACCATGATCACTACTATATAAACAAAGTTCTTCTATTTGAAGTTCCTTTGAAAGCATATGGTGGAGTTACTCAAAAAAACCCCACCCCAAACTCAAACCCCACCTCCTACAGTTAAGCTTTTAACTTAAATGTTACTACAAATGTGACAGTTACCATCACAAATACTGTGCACACCAATTATACACACAATGACAGGTTCTTTAAATTTCACATACATATGTTAGTATTTTAGGCTAGACTCAAACTTTAACTGAAAAATGGAATTAAAAGGGACTAAATGGCCAAGCATTTAACCTTTACATATAAGAAACCTAATATATGTTTCTGGATTCAGGTGGTTTTTGCAGTGTGTAAAACCAGTCTGACAAACCCAAAACACATAACCTCAATCAGTGCAACACAGACTTATCTTCGACAGTCAGAAAATACAACACCACCGGCAGCCAGAACTTGCCACTGTTTTACACACTCCTTTTAAACTGGCTCTGTTATATGTTGTCAACTAAATTATTTTGATGAGATTATCCCAAAGCTGAACCAGTCAAGCTTGGCAGTAATGAATTTGGAAAAGCTCTCAGTAGTACATTAAAGCAACCTTAGAAAACAGCTGAGGGGCAGGGGGCAAGGGGGGTGCATCACTATGGCATTAGACTTAAGAGCCAGGTGATCTGTCTTCTACATTCCCGTACCACTTGCAAAACCATCGACAAATCATCGATTCACTCTGAATTCCATCTTATTCCTACCTACAACTGACAGATGTTTGCCAGCCTCATAGGAGGCTCTTAGATTGAGTCTTTTAAGTTCTTCAGACTGATTTAGGTAGAAATTTCACTGAAAGAAATGTGTGAAGGATGGCATTTTGAACATTAGAGGAGTGAAAGAATCATAACCGATTTACTTGTTTCTGTGACACATTTATACATCATAACACAGCACTTCACATTTTGAAAGCTTGATTATCAACAACTCTCAAGAAAAAACAATTAAATAACTTTGCATGCTACGCTAAATATTCCTGAAAACCTGGCCATTTCTTGTGAATGATTTCACTGTCTATTTCAAATAATGACCTTTTTTCTCACTCCTGTTCTTCCTATTTTCTCTCATGTACTGTTGTGGTGAGGGGAAGTGAACAAGCAGCTGTGTGGATGCTTGCTTGCTAGCTGGGGTCAACCCACCGCAATTAGAAACCTTTTGAGGAAGTCATGTGTAGGTCTGTAAGTGGCTTCACATCTTTACTTTTGTATTTCCACATGTGTTTAGGTGTACGTTACTTGCTACAACTGCACAGGGAAACGTTGTGAGCACGTGGTTACGTGCCCAGAGCTTTATGTGCACACAATTACATGTTGACTATTACAGATGTAAGCACTTAACTTTACAGTCCAGGTAGTACAGCAGTTTGAAATATAAACTAAAAGCTACAAATACGTAGCAAAGGCTTTATTAAAACAGACAAATAATTTCTAGGAATTCCAACTGCAAATACACCTGCTTAGTGCCTCTGATAAACAGATGATGGGATCTATTGTAGTCTACATAATATGCCAAGTTGTTTAAGATCAAGAAATGTTTTAAAATACAAATAGCAACAAAGTACCAGCTGATTACCAGTGCCTAAAAAATACCCCCATCAGAACAGTCAAGCTTTCCAGAACTGTCCTATTAATTCTGAAAAAAATGGGTAGCAATGAACTTTCTTTCACTAATTTTTTCTCATCTCCATCTGAAGTATGCAGCTACAATTGATACTTTCGGTAAAAATACCTCTCTCTTCTGTACATTCAACAGTAACTCTTTTTTGTGCCGGTCATGATTTTAACCATATTCATGAGTTCTGAACACTGATCTTATAAAATTTTACTTACCGTACAATTTCTTCAGTTTGTTGACTTATAGTTATTCTTCCAACAAATCTATAAAAGATAGCCACATGTTAGAAATATCTACATAAAGACTGAAAAATTTAAAAAACTCCTCTATATTTACAAAAAAAAGCCATTAATGTTTCACAAGTACAAAAGAATCAACTTTCATTAACAAACTAAAACAACATGGCAACACAGGCAATCATTTTACAAGAGATGTTTAACAGAAACATTTATCCTTCCAAAAAACAGTCATTTGAGAAAGCCTATTATTGGGTTTATTAATAAACCCACAAAGGATCGTATTTCTTATTCAGTTAAAACAGACCGTGATTTCATGTTTCAGTAAGAAATAATTCCTTAACAAATATGTTAGCATATTATCTATCAGAAATAGTAATTTTTTCATTTAATAAAGCCTTTTGCTTTATTAAACTGCTTTTAAAATCTGACGCTTGCAAATTTAACATGACCCTAGGGACATAAACCTCTATAGTAATTGTACCTTAACTTGATGTTCTCTACAAACTGAACTAAAGATCAAATATTTGAACAGCTGATCAAAGTAAGAATCTTAGTTTTTAAGAATTTAATATTTCTCAAAAATCCAAAGGTTACTTAATAATAGCTGCTATGATATAGTTGGATTTTGAAAACTACTACTTGACAGCTACCATTTTCCATTATACAATTCAAGAAAAACTTGTATGGAAATAGTATTTTAGGTTACCTATGATGCTGTTTGTTAGAGAGTATAGGGCATTGCTTGCTGATGTTAAAAACTGAAATGAAGCACACTAAGATACAACTGGTTTTATACTAAATTTTTGCTGCTGAAGAATGGAGTTTAAATCTCCTCTTGAACAAAAGCAAAATAAACGTGACCAATATGTACCATTAGAATAAACGTAAGCTTACAACAATTTGCTATAGTTTGAGCTAACTCCATTTAAAATATATATATACTATATAGTACTCCAATCTCCTGACAGAACCTTACACAACTCCTTCTCCAACCTGTTCAGAATCATAGGCCATTTAATTTTTTTAAATCTGCTAACAAGTTTACGGGTTAGAACAAAAATGTACATAAAGGTCACAATTAAAATACAAAACTTGTCACTTGCAACTTTCAGCAATTACATACGCATAAACACTTGCACTATTAAAATTTAAACAGATGTTTGAAGCCATTTTAATCCCAGCAAGATCCATAACATTCCTAATATTAAACACCTCATTTTTATTTAATTTCAAAATATTTACTAATAACACGATACCTGTATAGATCTGCTTCTGGCTGCTGACATTCTATAACAGCTACAAGTTTGTCCAGGTTGGCAACGGACTGTAGCACGGCTGTTTCTGGAACTGCAACATGTGTCTGTAAAACAGTGTCCATGAGGTTAATGATATAGGACTACTGGGCAGAGAGGGCATCCCAATGGGCTGAAATAAAAATGGTATCGTGAATGAACTACATTCTATTTCACATCAGTAACCCAGACCTTAAGATTGGTCTCTCCATCCAAACTTGCAGTAGTAACATGGCATGAACCGTCGACTCGATCAGATGACAGAAGCACCAGATCAACAGGAAAAGTCTCATCTTTGGCTACTCTGACAATGTCCCCCACCTAATGAAGTGAACACAAATGAGAAGTGTACAAATAGAGTTTTAAAAGAGAATAATTCATTTCAGCATTGTTACCAAATCATGATGAAACAAGAGCTATAGCTATGCAATAAACACAATTTTCAATTTGTCCTTAGGCACATACCCGAATGTTTTTAGATCTAGTTTTTACAAGGCCACCACTTCGAACAACATAAACTGGAGCACCATTTACTTCATTGTCCGCTTTATGTCGTAGCCAGTCTTCATAACCCTGTAGAGAACACATACAAATTTAATTTTTAACCAAGAAACCTATAAAGCACAACAAATATCTTCTAAGCAAATGTACTTCAAATTACTTCCTGCATAGTCTGAATAGATTTACTAATTTCTCTTGAGTTTCTACTACAGATGTTACTCAAGCACCTGGTAAACCTCTTAATTTTCACTCTACACGAATAAGTAAGGGCAAATAAAGTAGCAAAAGTGGTGAGGAAACTCAACAGTCCCGTATTTTGTTAAAACAAACAGGCAGTGACATTTTCTGAAGATGAGATGAACAAGAACTCATAAAATCTTTTATCTATATGGATTAACATACCACAAAACTGGGAACAGTCTCTCTTATGGGTGGTTTCGGTTTTGAGTGGGTTGGGGTTTTTTGGGGGGTTTTGTTTTGTTTTTAAGAGAAGTAACAGACTGAAATTACTTCCTCATGTCATACCGTACAGCACTTCTTATAGTTACTGCCACAGCATATGCATGAAATCTTAAGAGTTCTTAATTTTGTACAATATGCTGTCACAGATCACCTCTGTATAGTAGAGATCACTGAGAAGGTTTTAGTTCTTTCTGAGTCCTAATGCAGCAGTTCACAGCAACTGAGTTTTCCATGGATACATTAAGCAGTTTTCCTTCATTGGATATTTGGTGCCTCTTTAGGAATCCTTTATCCCATACACCCACACACACACGTGCAAACATTTATGAGTGTGAATCCAGGTATATTATTCTCCTCCTATTTTAGCAAGCTATTAATACATTGCTTATTTAATCCAATAGCATGATTGTCAGTAGCATGATCTCTCTGATCCCTAAGTCTAGGTACTGTTTGGAAAGCCCACAAACAAGCACAAGAAATGGATTAGTCTACACAGGAAGCTCAACTGCCTTTTGCATCCTGGCAAGACTCCTACAGCTGATACACAATACTAAAGACACTTCCTAAAATGGTCTTCTGTAGGTATAACAAATGTGAAAGAATTAAAACCACTTCCTTGGAAATTTGCAGACAAAGGAAGGGGGCCTTCTGAAACAGCAGGCATATCCCAACGCATCCTAGAACACTATGAACATTATGTAAGAATGTCATCATACAAACAGTACTAATGCAGGTGCAGTTTGGAGAATTCTGCAGTCGACTGGAGTTTGGAGGAAAGTTGTATGACGAATTTAGCTGTGTTACAAGTATAGTTTTGCAGTTCTACCTTCACGCACCTCCCCTGTTACTAGCAGAAATGAGTAAGGACAGCAGAACTGCGCTACCGAAAATAGAAAAGGAAACAGAAAATAGAGGGAAGCTTTATATGCCAACTGCTTAAAAAAGAAATAATTAGGAAGTGTCTAGTAATAGCAGCCATACAGAGAGATACAAGGGAAATCAGAACCCTAAAACCCCTAAGTAAGACTCTTAAAGAGTCCTTCCTAAGCAGTATGAAAAAGCAAAAGTCAGTACTTACAGCTCCTTGTTAAAGGTGACTGACAGAAGAAAACAAGGATATAACTAACGTCCAGTAACCTTGGGGCATTTGTCTCATAAACCTGAACAGCTGAGCAATATGGACATTTGGCAAAGAACTTAAATTTACCTTCTTTAGAAAGTACAGATTTCAGCGCTTTCTCCATCTGACACCTATTGCCTACAACTCAAGGGTGACACCTCACACCAGGGAATTCTTAAGAGCCAACCTACCGTGTTCAGGTTAAATTCCCCCCAAATTTACCTACTGCAGCATTTTTGAGACAGTTCCTTATCCTCACTTGCAAATACTGCAAAAATACTGTTGAAAAGAAGCAATAGGAACACTGGGAATGCTGCTTAATTGCACAAAAACAAACTAAAGATTTAAATCCCTCAAATGACATTCTTCAGTCCTGCTTAAATAACTGCATCAATGCACTTGAGAAAATGACAAAAATTAAAACAGGCCTACATATTATATTACCAGGGTTTTCATTCTCAGTTCAGGTTTATATTTAACAAAACCTGCAAAGTCGTTGGTTCTAATTACAGTCATGTAAACATCTGCATTCAATCAGCTTGTTTGCTAAATACCTATGAACTTACTGAAATTGACTCAGTTCTCTTAAGTTCCTTTGGAAATACCTTTATTTTGTTGGAATTTTTTTTGTTTGTTTTGCTTTTATTTATTTTCTAATTCCGGAGTCCTCTGAGGACCGCATTCGCATCTTCACAGGCATAAGGATAAAAGTGCTCTGGCTAACAAGACAGACAAAATGACACAGCATGAGTTGCATCACTTTGCAGTCTTGTATGTCCTTCTTCTGACCTAGGTGCAATTACACTTCTAAGAAGAAAAAGTTCTATCTATCTCCTTGACGGAGATGAAAATAAAGCTGAATTTTTAGGTTTGGTAGAGGTGCCTTGTTAACTGGCCTTCTGGAAGCAGGGGTGTTTTTCCACCCACTACTAAGTTTCTCAAACCTGTATATGGTTAATGCTTCTATTTTTCCCCTTCTTTTGAGAGACTAGTTAGTTACAGTTTAACATTTATCCTAATAAACTTTGTTTAAAACCAGTGCCCTGGAGCTTTCAAAAGGTTTTTTTTCCCTTAAAATCTGCTTCGTCTTCTACTGCTGGTGTGAGAAAAAATGGAAACTGGTTTTGAGACCATACTGGCTATTTTCCCCTCTGCATTTCAACAGAAGATTTATCTTTCTTCCTTGTCTGAGGGCAGCCTGTTGGAAATAGCACACTGAATTGTCTTTCCAAGACCATGACTACTATTTGCCTACTTTGCAGCAGGTAGGATAAACATGAGAGTCCTTTAGATCAGTTTAGATGTTTCCAATAGTCCTTGGAGAGATATTGAAACAGTCAGAAAACCTCTTCATGCTTAGCAAGTCATGAACGATTTGAAAGTTCTAGAAGGAATGCCAGAATCTATCCTTTGCAATTAATGGTAAGATACTTGTATTTCCCAATAAAAGACCGAATATCTGGAAACAAGGTGTTAATAGATTATTTGGACAATTTTAGACTTATAAAAGTCCAACTTCTTTCTGGAAAAAAAAAAAAATCTAGTATTTATTACTAAGGTGCACAACCTCTTTCAGTTCACACATCTTTAAAGGATATTTTCCATTGCCTCCTTATAACTCTTGAACAGGTGATTTTTTAGAGGGTGATAACAACTGCAATTGAATAGGATTAGGGCACTCTACATACACACATTCCACAGCAACAAGATAAAATATTAGTTCAAATATTACTCCAGTATTAAGATTCCCTGTGCCCCAAACACCATTCTATCTGCTTGAAAGCTCGAGCTATTTTTACTTTTGCCCTATTTCAGGGTGGCTTTGGGTCTTAATGGCACAGAAGGCAAATTGAAATTCCAGTTGTAGCTCCGTATGTCTCCTGCTTACTTTTCAGTTGCTATGACTGCATCTCTTCCCCAGACAGCACTGTCAAACCCTTTGAAGGGGATAGTTCCTGAAAATTACTTCCCTGCAGAAGAGATTATAGTTTCCATCCACATCACCTCTTTATTTATGTTTTTGGTTTTTTCTTCTCTTGCTTTAAGGGTTTAAAGATAACGGAAGATTTTTTTTTTTTTCCAGACATTCTTCTTCTAGGGGCTCTAGGTATTAGTAAGATGTAGTATGGTGCTCGAACAAGATTTCTATTAAACTCATACTTACAAGATTTTTCTTATTTCAAGTGCTATAAAGTACTCCAAAGTGTTTTATGGAACCAAAGAAAAGGAAAACAAAACGAGAAGCTTTCTAAACTGGGCCTTCTACCTGGTACAGGATTACAGTTTACATGTATTTTGTGGCATGAAATATACTGCTTCTAACCACTGACAAACATGGATTGCACCACTGCTTCATCTACCTAAACTCCTTTCTCAGTGTGTCATGTTGGAGGATTGGTTTTAATATGCAGCAAGGTGTGCCAAAGGAATAAGTGAGGAGCTTTCAGAAATGGTCTTACAACAAGTGACACGTAACATTTAGACAAAAATGCTGTCTGACAGTCATTCGCTGTCCATTTAAGGGTACTGCAGTGAGTCACTGAGAGCTTGACAACTAACCAAAATGCTCAAATTCAAGCATCTAACAGGAAACATTAAATACAAAATCCTTTTTTAAAATAACTATTTTTTTTGTATCTAAACATTATCTTGGTCAGACTGTAAGTAACTTTACCTTAGAAAGACTTGATGTTACGACATTTTTTTTCCCCCTTTACCTGTTTTATGGCTGTCACAGTTATGACAAAGAATAATGGCAATCCACTGGTAATAGGACTAGTAGGGGTATCTATCATGAGCTAAAAGAGAAGAAAATATGAAAATTAGCCCAAATTTTATTTTTATGATTGTACCTTAAAAAAACCCAAAATAACAAAAAAAAATCCAAAACCCCAATGAAGCAAGATGACAATTATTTCCAAGTGCATTATAACCTGTGATTATTTTTATTGCACTTTCTGCTATACTTCTGAAGCAAAACTCAGTTCCTGACACCTAAATAATACATGTCAATAATGATGTAAACAAACATCCTAGGGCACAGAACAGACTTAATCATATTTGTAATGCATATGCCTATTTCAAGAGTCCTTAGCAAAAGGAAGATATGTTTTCATCCTGCAAAGATTAATTCAAAAGTATATTACAAAGGAAGGAAATATGCATTTTGTAAAGCTGTTCAATACTCTATACAACCTACTGCTTAAAAGCAATGTAGAATATAACAACATCCACTTCAGAAGTGGAAATTAAGTAAAAAATTTAAATTTCCAACAGTTTAGATATTAGAGGACATTCATTCTTAGACTGCTCCTTTCTGATTTCCCCAAGTCAACATGCAGGTTTTACAATTTGTGCTATTATTGCTGGCATGCCAAAAGTGCAGTGTATACAATAAAATTCTGTGTGTGGGGGGCATGTTAGTGGTTCTCCTCTGCTGCAGGAAAAAAACCAACATGGTCAAGTGCTGGAAAGAAAATACACACAAGAACTATTCAAAACCACAGATGTTGATTTGATCCACTTTACCTGAGACTTATGGCATTGCTTTAGGAAACCAATAAAGAAGAAAAAAAAAAAATCATACATGAAGTTTACTCTGTTAAAGAGCCAAGAACCTCATAGAGAAAACAGATTATGCCACTTTACAACACATGCATGAGGTTTGGTTTTCTTACCACCCCCCTCCCCCCAAACACAATGTATAGAACACCACAAAAATCAGATCTAGCCTGCAATATTGTCTGTTCTTCAATTGTAGCACTGCAATTTGAGTCTGGAACTATGTTGTCCAAGAAAACCCATGCCAAAAGCATCTGATTTTTGGCCGGTTAGGGCAAGCCATGACATTTCTGCTGTCTACATTCTCCCATTCTCAAGAGAGTCATATGTGAAAATGGAGCAAGTTTTGTGCTGGTGGAATTGTCATGGCAGCCGCCTTCTTTTGCCTCTTCCACTGGAACACCATGGCCCTTTGCCTGCTACACAGCTGGACACGCATCCATCACACAACTGGTGTGGAGCCCCATGTGACCGAAATGCAGTCTGTCACCATGTTTTTGGCATGCATATGGCTGGTGAACAATATGGACTGGATTGTGCTGCACGTTTAAGTCACACAATGAGAACTTGCCCCAGCTCTGTCATCCCCAGTGGAATATGATGGTAATGACAGACACTGCATCCTGGTCACATGAGATTCATATGACAGAGAAGATACCATGGTGATAAACTTTTAAAGGCACCTTTGCCTTATAAAAAGACAGTAAATACTAGATATTAATGAACTCCCAAATCGGATTTGAATAAAAACAGAATTACATTCTAGCAAATGAACAAAAATGACTGCAGCTTTTCTCTTCAGTTTCCAGGAATAAAGACACAGAAACAAGACATTTCCCATACAAATTAGGACATCCACTTGAGTCACGAACTGAGAGAACAGGATCACGCTCTGCCTTTAGATCCATATTTGTTCATGGACATCACATTTAGATGTGAATTACTGAAGCCTAACAGTTTGAAAGGAATGTGACTCAAAATTGAACTAAAGAGGTAAATTTGCATTAAAAAAGAAACAAAAGCTTTAAAAATGCAACACCGTTGTTACCTTCAGTAACACTTCTGTTCCATCTCTAGCATGCCCCCATCTTCCTCATGCTACAATATGCTAAACAGCATGAAACATTGTAAGAGGAATGACAAAGTCAATATTCTTAACTAGGAAGATGAGATGGGCACCGCATTCTGTTAGACTAAGGTAGAACTGAATGACTTTAATAACTCCCAACACTGGAATTTTCAGCCTTTCAGAAAGTTAATTCTTTCTAAATGTGAACAAACAAGTGCAAGGGACAAAGGAGACAACGGATTCAAACTGCAGAACTGGCCCTGCTACTGACATCTTGCACAATCAATCACAGACAAACCTTATGAACTCTCCACTATTCCCATTTTTTGTCACATGAGGCACCACCTTTTTCAAACGCATGCTGTGAATGTTGGTTAATCACTGTGGAGGGCTGTGCATGTTCAAAGCATTCTATTTTATAGTTAAAGAAAAGTTTGTGTACCCCAAAATCTTGTCTCTGTTTTAGATATTAACTGGTCTCTCAAAAGTTATTATCTTTCCTCACAATCTTTCTTCCACTTATCCTTCATCTAGAACAGCACTGATGTCTTCCAAACTGACAAACTTTCAATTCTAGCTGTAAATTTTTATGTGTTCACTTTATCTGAACAAACTGAATTTGAAGATCTTAGAATTGTGTGAAAAGTGTATTGATTACAAAAGCAAGTCTCCACCTACAATGAGAATATACACTGATATATGCTCAGCTGAAGAGCAAGTATACTGCCCAGTTTGACACAAGTGAACTTGAGTATCTACATTTCTCCACACTAATGTCCAAGAAATGTCTAAAATCGCTCAAGCAACTGGTTTATTCAAACACCACCAATGTACACAAAAATTAAAAACCGTATCTGGAATTTTATTACTAACTTAAGAGATTTAAAATTGAATTTTGAGGCAGGTAACTGAGTCCCTGTGTTAGCAGCGCAATGGACTCTGAAGCTGCACACTTAAATATATTAGGTTTTATCTTCATGAATGCCAGGGACAGTACTTAAATTTGAACATAAAAGTTATGTTCTTTTCCCAGAGAAACCAGAAATGCATTGTTTTTATTTACAGAATATGTGAAGTTAAATTAATAGAAAAAAAAACAGTGGCAGAATTTACAACACAAATGGCAATTTCCAGAGTATTATTCAACTTACCTGAACCAAAAATATAATCAGAAAATAAAAGTTGGCTACTCTTCTGAACTGCTCAAATAAGTTTTTTGGAACAAAATTCCACACTGTATACTGAAGGGAAAAAAGGGAAAGAGAGAAGAACCATTATGACATACTGAACAATTTTTCAGTAAAATTCAGTTTTGTTCCTGTTAAACTCTCTTAACCTAAATCTTTTCATTTTCCATCTTCACTCCCCAAATCTTCTTCTGGTCTTGCCCTACTCCCACACGGAACTGCTGTATCCAATTTTAGTAGTTTTTAAGTACAGCTAGCAGGGAAACAGTGGTGGCAACTGCATTGTTTTACAGTCAAAGTTTTAAATGTTCTCCTACCAACTGGGGTAGGAGCAGCTGGAGTCATTTGGCTGCTTGTATCCTGGGTAGCAAAGAAATTAATTCTTGCAGCTGTAACTTTCTCTCCTACGCTAGAGCAACAAGACACATCCCCACCATCAGTTCTATTGATTCCAATCCAAGGTCACAGTAGGAGGGAATCTGCAATTGCAGTCCACTGCTGATTTATTTTATGCAGAGTACTAGCTTACAATTTGGCTATTTTATAAACGCTCACAACCAGCTTCATTCTTCCCTTTAAGTGGTTCTGTGCATCGCATCCAGACATGGGCAACGCTTGTTTAAAACGTGCTTTGCTTTAGAAATTCTGACCAACAGGCTTAATTGTTCTGTACTTAGTCAGGTTCTGAGCAAATAGAGATGAGAGAAGCAAGAAAACTATATGGGAAACAACCTAACTTTTTCACCAAAAAATGTGAGGACTTGTTTCTTTTTGAATATCCTATATGCACCATTAGTCATAATACACACATGCACATTCGCTACACAACTTCAGTAATGTATCAAGTGGTTTTCCCATAACAAATTGATTCCTTACCTTGGATGATATGATTCTGTTGTCTGCAAATTTCTGAGGAACGTAATGGCCATGCTGGGGAAAACGATTTGCTATATAAATAGTTCTTGTATCGCTTTGATGCGGTGGGTCAAAACCCTAAAAGACAAAATAAAATTAAAAAAAAAAATTATCAAGAACTACTATTTTATTAACTGTAGTTTTGTAAAATTGTTACCTCTGTGCTGAAAAGTGATATCCAGATATCAAGCATCTGTTTCAGAATAGTGGCTTTTGAATGGGAAAAAAAAATTAATGTGCAAATTAAAGTCTGTTGTGTTCAAAGAATTGTCAAAAATGAGGGGTGGAGGAGGAAATCCCAATTATGAGGTTCTCTACTCAACCTGGAAAATGAAAGAAAAAATCCGAAGTCTCAAAAAGGACAAGAGAATACTTACTATCAAGCAAACTCGAAGAAACAAATGGAGATGAAAACATAAATTACCTCACAGCAATGCTCATGATGACTAATAGATTATGAGAAAAGTAGAATGTCAAATCAAGTCATATTAATATGCTGTGATAACTGGATTTTGAAAAGATTCTCGCCAGCTCAAAAACAAAAGCATATGCATCTGACAGGACAACAGTATTTTTCCAAACAAGTTCTGTCTCTAAGAACTAACATTTTGTCTAACCTCAAACACAATTTCCTGCCTTTACCACCAATTTACACATGAGCTGTAGCAACACTGAAAGCAAACTCATTAAATAAAAAGTATACTCAGAAATACTTATCAACAGTTTCCTCCCAAAAGAGAAGATCTGAGCGAGGTCCCTTGGAACCAAAGCCCTGTTGCAAGTCTAATGGTCAGTATTTTCATCAACTACCTCTGTGAGGGGAAGGGAGTACAGCTGTTAAATTCGCAGATGACACCACCTCGCCACCTCATGACTGCAAGAACACCGAATTACAACAAAAAATTCAAAAGCATCTTGACCAACCAGATGCATTGAAGACTGAAAGATACAGCCCTTAGGCACAATTAACTGCATCTACAAGAAGTGAGTAAAAGCCCTTATAGGAGTTTTGTATAAAAAGATCAAAAGGCTCATCACAGATTGAGTATAGTAAATGCCATCCCATTGAGAAAAAGGCCTTCAGTACTAAGGAGGCTGGAGGAGAAGTGGGAGCCACAGCTGAAGCACTGTGAACCAAGTGGACAGCATCCAGAGGAGTGGAACATGAGCCACAAGAGATCCTGAAAATGTGACATATAGCACAAGGCTCAACAATCTAAAAAGCAAAGAGTAAACAAATTAGAGTCATTTAGCCTAGAGGAAACTTGGGATATACTAGCACATCTTCCAATATATAGATTATTCCACCAAGAAGAGGGGTAATCTGAAGGGCAAAGCAGAACAAAAGTAAGCTTGAATTGCAGCTAGGAAAACTGTGTTTGAATAATGGAAAAACAAACAAAAATTCCTTTCTTATGAGAAGGCATAATTAAAAACCAAAATAAATCCCATGGGAAGGTTACAATGTCTCTGTAACACAAGGGCTTATATCTAGGTCATTCAAGTCTATCTTTGAGCCTTTCCTGGGGCTATGTGACTCACCAGAACCCTTTCTAGCTTTAATATTCTAACCTGGAGAAGCAGGTGACGGCAAACAACAACATGCACAAGAGTAAAACAGTAATAATTCACATAACAGGGCAAGAAAATTACTAAAATAAAAACCAAAAGAGCTTTAAGACACGGAACAAAGTAGTGAAATTGAATTTGGAACCGTTAAGTTGTTCAACAGGGAATCAATGATTGTCCAAGAAGCGGTAAATTTCAGCCCAATCTCCACACATTCTTAATCTTAGAACCGATTTTGCACTGTATAAACAGTCTCCTTGTTCTCTGATGCCAAGTGAAAGGACAACCAGTGAAACAGCTAGAAAGGGCATTACCAACTCCACTACTGGAGGTGAGGAAACTGCCTTTGCAGTTGCGTTGCTCCACTTGTGAAACCAAGCTCAGAACTTAATTTGCATCAAATAAAAATTGACATTTCACAGAACTCCAAGAAAAGATACCTCTGTACCAGCTAACTACAGAGGATGGTGAAGAGTGAGCACAATGAGCTACATAAAAATGGTTGGTATTACCAACCAAGAATTTTCTTTAATCCATGAATATCTGTAATACAGGACATTATGTATGTTCACATAAAAAAAACCACCTCTCAAACATATGCATTTTTGTATTTGCCATCATTACTACAGAAACATTCTGATTCAGAAAGAAGGAGGTCCAGAAGAAAGAACGGAAAAAGAAATGAAGAGGGATTTTTCAAAGAGATTTGAAGGAGAATAAGCTTTAGATAACAAGCAGTGGAAGGCCGTTCTAGTCACATGTGCCAGTGTGAAAGCTTGTTGAAAGATAAGAATGGAGCAAAGAGACAAAATGTAGATAGGGGAAAGGACGGCAAAAAAATATATATATATATATAGGATGCCAAAAGCAAAAAGAAAGGAACTGTTAACAACTTTAAGAAATACAAGCATGAAAGTAAGATGAAAAAAATGTACCTGTTAAATGCTGACACAATTTAAAATAAGAACAATGTTTGTAGCAGAAGCATTTTGGGTATCTGACATTAGTGACACATTATTTCTACATCAATACAGAAGATGCCACAATAAAAAGTGTTTTGCAAGCAAGAAAAAAAAAAATGTGCTTAATTAGTAAGACTAGGTACACAGCTCTTTTCTAGCTCAGAAAATGTCTGGCAATCACAAAATGCCAGACATCCTCACTTTGGAAAGTCATATTCTACAGCCTGAAAAAATTCCACTCTAAACCAAACAGATGTAAAGCAGGGAAAAAACAGAAAAAGCAAAGAAAGCAACTGGCAGTCTTCTGATGGTGATAAATGCTAATCTCCATGCCACTCGCTGAAAGTTATTAAAAGATAAATGAAAAATTTCACAGAGACTAGGGTATCACTGCATTTTTTCCAAACTATTTATATGCCCTTTTCAGGCCACTATCTGAGCACCTGAAAGTTCATGAGTTTAATGACATTTTTATTATGGAAAGTAAAGACCTCCATACAACCCAAGCCCAACTGCACAAGCACTTCTACTAGAGGAGAATACCTCTGCTGAAGCAGAATCAAGTCTGAAAGCAAAGAATCTATTTTCCAAATCGGAATTTCAGGCCATATGACAGGTGCTGTTGTGCAGCTAAACCAGTTTAAAATTGCAGTCTATACACATTTAACAGTTTTGTTGAAATTTACCACAAAGAACGTGCAGAAGCTGTGCAGTCAGCAGATCTATGGAGATGGCGATCCACAAGCAAGGCAGGCTGAAGAACCCCTTGTCAGAGCTCTGGTTGGAAAAAGGACACATCCTTGCCAACCTTAGTGACTTGAGTCACAACAGAAAATAAGTCTCAGAGCTGGGAACAGAACCCAGATTTCCTAAGTTTCATATCTAACTACGAAAGATCATTTGAAATTACCCAGCAACCCTGTCATCACATAATAAACTGGTGAGACCACAACCAAGAAGATCTTCCAGAGAAATTTTAATTACACATCTCTCCAAGGAAAATTCTGCACAGACACGGAACTTAATTGTTCAAGAACTTAAATGCCTTTAACTTTTCTGTAACTACGGGGCGGGTCACAAATCCTGCTCCTGACACAAATCTGTAGTCCAAATTTCTGCCAAGCAAAAGAGTTTTGCATAGTGTCTATATGCAAGCCAACAAAGAAGTGCAGAAAGCACTGTTTCCTAATTTCACTTATTAGACAGTTCTTTCTCTTTCTAACGTCATTATCAAACTCAGCTGCAAAACTAGGGTAACATGACTTTGTCAAAGGATTTCCACGGCTAAACAGCATGAGCAGAGAATCCCTAAATTAAATTTCAAATCTTGCAAAAATATTCAGTTGTCACCAATGTCTTCTAACAAAACTTAGTTTTCCTGCAGTTATCTAGAGAAGTAATTTCTACCCTAGTGCACAGATCATAGAATGGGTTGGGTTGGGTTCCAACCCCCCTGCCACAGGCAGGGACACCTTCCACTAGCCCAGGTTGCCCAAAGCCCCGTCCAACCTGGCCTTGAACCCTTCCAGGGAGGGGGCAGCCACAGCTGCTCTGGGCAACCTGTGCCAGGGCCTCACCACCCTCACAATGAAGAATTGCTTCCGTACATCTTATCTAAATCTACCCTCTTTCAATTTAAAATGGTTACCCCTTGTTCTATCCCTACACCGCCTGATAAAGAGTCCCTCCCCAGCTTTCCTGTAGCCCCTTTAAGTACTGGAAGGCTGCTAGAAGGTCTCTGTGGAGCCTTCTCTTCTCCAGGCTGAAGAACCCCAACTCTCTCAGCCTGTCTTCATAAGGGAGATGCTCAGGCCCTCGACCATCTTTGTGGCCTCCTCTGGACTCACTTGAGCAGGTCCATGTCCTTCTGATGTTGGTGCCCCCAGAGCTGGACACAGCACTGCAGGGGGGGTCTCAGGAGAGCAGAGTAGAGGGAGAGAATCCCCTCCCTCGCCCTGCTGGCCACACTTCTGCTGATGCAGCCCAGGACACGGTTGGCTTTCTGGGCTGTGAGCGCACACTGCTGGCTCATAGTCAGTTTTCCATCCACCAACACCCTCAAGTCCTTCCCCGCTGGGCTGCTCTCAATTCACTCTTCGCCCAGCCTGGATCTGTGCTTGGGATTGCCCTGACCCATGTGCAGGACCTTGCACTTGGCCTTGTTGAACTCCATGAGGTTTCCACAGGCCCACCTCTCCAGCCTGTCCAGGTGGATGGATCCCTTGCCTCCAACATATCAATCGCACCACACAGCTCGGTGTCATCGGCGAACTTGCTGAGGGTGCCTCGATCCCACTGTCCACATTCCCAAAGATGTTGAACAGCACTGGTCCCGCTGACCCCCAAGGAACACCACTCGTCACTGCTCTCCACTTTGACATCAAGCCAATGTCCAGAACTCTGACCCATCCATCAAACCCATGTCTCTCCAATTTAGAGACAAGGATGTTGTGCGGGACAGTGACAAAAGCTTTGCACAAGTCTGGGTAGATGACAGCAGTTGCCTTCCCCTTGTCCACCAGCACTGTAACCCTGTTATAGAAGGCC